AGAGCAAAACTTTTTGTATTTTTTATTTAATCTTGATTCGCAAAAAGGTAAAGAAGTTCTTTTCATTTTCTTAAAACTATGTCAGATAATTCTCATTCGGTATCAATATTAGTGATACGTGATGCTACGTCTGTTTTTATATTTTTGATCAGATGGAATATACGACACCATAATCCAAATTTTTCTCTTTTCACACCACTACCATTTTCCGAGCTATATTGCTGAAGTAAGGAAATTTGATTCCTCCAGCTTTGTTAATATAAGCTATTGCTGTCGTGTTATTTAATCGTAATAAGACTTCGCAAGCAGACAACTTGAATGCGAAGCTCATCAAGGCAAAAAAGGCTACGTTAAGTTTTAATAATTTATGGTGCTTTTTTTCCTCCTCATTTCAAAATCCATGACAGTGGGCGCCCAATCAGTTAAGGAAGAATCTGAAAATATCGCCATTTTAAATTTCTGCGTTCTAATGAGCCCCGATGACACGTTATGTTTCTACTTTCTCATTCTAAGTCTTCTTTATCAATTTTGTTATATACATTCCGCCATCGAAGTCGTTATTATTAAATGTTAATGCTAGAACTTTTTCCCTCTCTAATTTCTTAACATATATTTTGCTATACCCTATCGCAGGACAAGCTGCTATTAAAACACCTAGCAATCTCGCTATTTTGCAGATCCTGTATTACTTTTCCTCGTCGGTTCAATAATTCTATAATCTGCACTTTCTTTTTATCTGTCAATTCCAAACAGAAAATATTCAAATTAATCTTAAAACCTAAATAATTACATTCTTGATTAGGTATTAATTAACTCTTTCAATAGTTTATTATGATGATATTATAATGAAACCTAAATGAAATTCTAAAAATTTCAAGGCATAATTAATATTACTTTGACAGATCTCTTTAAATTCATGTATAAAAAGAATATCATCTAAGTATTACCGCTATTATTCCTTGCGACCTTAGATGCTTCATAACTGATTTCATCAATAAATACATACGGGCTGGTACAAAGCCCAAAGGGGAGACAAGTAAACTGATATAGTCTATCAAGAAATTTGATCAAAAAAATATCCAATGTTCTTTCCATATAGAAATAACATGATAAGCATCTTTCAAGCCGAAAGAGCCCTACTATATATGATCCCTACATCAACAAATTTCTTGCCGATCGAATATCCTCCATTTTAAAATGTTGAGTATCTATAAGTGTCGGTCCACAATAAGTATTTAATCTTTAAGCCATAAGAAATTGACTAATCATAGTCGAGTATTCTTTTCATATTCGATTATAATTGGTCAATTTCTTACTTCTTAAAGCTTAAATCACCTATTGTGGACCGACACTTAGGTGTACAAAAAAGTTCTGAGCTTTAGATTTCATACAACCGAAATAACAATTTAAATTTTATATATCTTCCCGCTCTTTTGCGGTTTTAAAGCGTTGACATTTGGCCTTCTAAAATGCCATACGGTTTGGCGTTTGATGCACATAACTTCAAAAATCAGTAGTGTGGCATGATGGTAATAACAAAAGAGCATATTCGATTTTCCATCCACTTCGCGTTTAATCTGAAGAAAAATGCTGCTGAAGCCACTGCAATGAGTTGTGCTGCATGTGAAGAGAACGCTGTAAGTCATACTACATGTAAAAGATGATATCAAAAATTTCGCCAAGGAGATTTCAGTCTTGAAGATGAACCGCGTGCTGGACGCCCTCAAAAGATTGAAACGGACGAATTGCAAGCACTGCTGGATATAAACTCTGCGCAAACTGAAAAGGAGCTTGCAGAACAGCTTGGCGTTACGCAGCAAACCATTTCCGTACGTTTACATACGATGGAAAAGGTTCAGAAGGAAGGCAGATGGGTTCCGCATGAATTATCCGAAGACAATAAAAATCATCGGCGTGACACTGCACTCACTTTGCTTTCAAAGTTCCGGAAAAAAGATTTTCTGCACAAAATCATTACAGGCGATGAAAAGTGGATTCTTTATGATAACCCTAAACGTAGAAAATCATGGGCTGATCAACCTTCGACATCGACGCCAAAGCCCAATATCCACGCCAAGAAGGTTTTGCTCTGTATCTGGTGGGATTGGAAAGGTGTGTTGTATTACGAGTTGTTACAACCGGGTGAAACAATCACGGCAGACCGCTACCAATAACAATTGACCAATTTGAGCATTAGAAGAAAAGAGACCATTTACTGGCTAAGGACTGGCCAAAGTGATCTTGCTTCATGACAATGCTCGACCACATGTTGCGAAAACGACTCAGGACCATATTTTTGCGTTAGGCTGGGAACTTCTCCCGCACGCGGCGTATAGCCCAGTATAGACCCACATGGCGCCTTCCGATTACTACCTATTCCGGTCGCTGCAGCATCATTTGGCTGATACACATTTCGTGAGATTTGAAGAGATACGAAAATGCATTGATGACTTTATCGCTTCGAAGCCGGTTCTATCATCAAGGAATTCGCAAGCTATCTTAAAGATGGCAAAAGGTCATTGATGCAAACGGAGAATATTTCGCTGATTAATATTTTTTTGTTTGTTTTTGAATAAAGATTGAATTTTACAAAAAAAAGCTCAGAACTTTTTTGTACACCTAATATAAACTCAATTTTTCAATTTTTTCAAATTAAAGATGAATTTATTTGATCCATCCGATTTTTTAACAAGAAAATATGACGAAATAAACTGTCCACTAATTTCCGCACATTCCTCTATGATGTTGTTACGCAGCATCTTTTCTAACTTCAATTTCTAACTTCATTATTGTTAATTGATCCCCTGCAATATTTCTATTCATTGGAATTCTATTTTGACACGGAATTTCTCGGAATGGAATTCGATATTCTTTTAATCAATTTAGAATGTGTCTATCTGACGTAATAGCTGTCCAATTCTACCTATATTTACGAAGGCGACTTATATCTGTTACCCTCGTTATTTCCTCGATGATGATTCGTCATCCGACTGTTTAATCTCACTAATGAGTGTACCATCTTCTGATTCTTGGGTTTGAAACGAATCACATTCTTCCACTGATCCGGTCTCCGGTATCGTTGGTAATTCAATTGCCGATATTTGACAAGTAGGTATTTAATGTTTCCCTGATTCCGTTCCATTAAAAACTTTTGTGAACTAATATCTTTTCCGGGCCTTTAATGCTTTAAGCACAAGCTTTCTCTAAGGATTTTGCTTCTTTTACTTGTCAGCAAATTGTTCACCATACAACCACTGATCAAATTGTTCATCATACAGCCACTGATCAAATTTAGTTGTATCTAAAGTCGATTTTACAGATTTATTCATCAGAAGCATAATAAGCACCCTCCTTGTCAGTGACAGCTGGTGATGCACCTCTGTTAATAATTGGCTTGTATCACAAAGATATTTTGTGAATTTCTCTTGGTCTTTATGCCTTCTTCGGGTACTAATTCGGTTTCTAATAGCATAGACCGCTGCTAATGCTGAAATAGCCGAATAAAATTCTGTGCTTCAACGAAATATTGGTCTCTCTTAACAGCAATCTCTGTTAAGCTTTATCTTTAAATTTTAGAAGCTTCAGATAAAAGTTCTCCTTCTCTTGGATATGATTCCAAGATCGTTTTCTTATTGCTCTTTGGCAAATCTTCTCGCATCCATTTCTGCCATCTATCCTTTAATTTAGGATGAAAATTCATCTCTAGTTTTGAAACATTCTGATCTCCTAAAATTTTCGAGATTTCTTCTAAAACCACTTCCCTTTCAAGAGAGATATATTGCATTAATATTCACTATTGGATCTATCATTTCATTTGTTTCCAACAAATAAATACTATCAATCGTTGTTGAAATGGTATCTAACAATCTATTGTCTTTAGTTGTCAAATTTTCTTGTATAATTAGGTCTCCTGAAATATAAATATATATCCATACGATTTCGACAGACACGGAAATACATGATATAATGGATAGCCTATATGTTAATATATAATTTATAGTGAGTAACCATGATAGACCTTATATGTATGGATTGATAATATGATATGATTATGTCCGCGGGGGGTTGGAGAGAGAAATGTCTCTCTTTTTCTAAAAGTATCCGGAAATACATTTTGCGCATGCTTGACATATACTATACATTAATGCATTTCTATTGGTATATACTTGTATGCAAGTTGAAGGAAAGTTTGAGATTATTTGTACGTTAATCGTATTTGTGGAATATCACATCATATTTCTAAAAATAATGATTCGAATATTAGATTCGCGTTGCTTAGAATTTTCAATATTTAAAGCAGGATATATATATTTGTAATCGATGGAAAAGGAAAGAATAAGAAGCTTAAATAAAATAAGTATAAACAACACGAACCGCCTATTTATGTAAAACCATTTATTAGTCTCAAAACATTTATTGTTAACATATTATTGTTAATATATTATTATTTAAAATAATTATTAAATTATTAAATAATTATTAAATAATAATATTCTTTCCTTTTCCATCGATTACAAATATATATATCCTGCTTTAAATATTGAAAATTCTAAGCAAAATCTAACGCGAATCTAATATTCGAATCATTATTTTTAGAAATATGATGTGATATTCCACAAATACGATTAACGTACAAATAATCTCAAACTTTCCTTCAATCATATTTTTTCAAGAACTTGCATTTTTAAAAGGAAAATTATTCTTCTATAATTTCATTATTTAAAAAAACGAGTGTATTGTGTGTCATGTATATAAAATAAAACAAAATTGGAAACAACATTAAAATCAAAATTCAAGTATGTAGCAACTATGCCATGCATGATTCATTAACTATTGTAATTTTTATTTTACTCTATTTTTTATTATTTTATACAGAATTAAAAAATAAAAACTTCAATATAGAATTACATATCATTTATTTTAAAACTTTTCACAAATTAATCTGAAAGTTCTTGTTTTATCTGATGTTTTTTTACTTTTCTTATATATTTTTTATTTTATTGCATTTTTATGTTCGCCTATAAAGTCTTTCATTCTTCACTACAATATATGTATATAGTTTTTGATCATATTATATTAATCTGCCATATGCTTCGAACTCATGTGCAATACATATTTCCGGACATCTTAAAAGAAAGAAGTACCAAAAAGTATGTCTCTCTGTCTGTCTAATTTCCCGCAGACACTGTTTCTTATGCAGAAACTAGCAATTGCTAGTCCATATCTAAAGTTTATGATGAGTAATTATATATGTGTAATAACGATATATTGTATGTACCATGTGATAGCTGTTAAAAAAATTCATTACAATGTTTATTTACCTCATATGGTAATATCAAAATAGTATGGATTTTCAACGCTCGAAACTGCATATAGCATTTTCGAGTAATTTTGAAAACATATATGAGTCTTCCTTATTGCGTCACGTATTCTACGTGCTGCACTCTCTGTCGGCTTCATATGGATTCGTATCCGACATTCGAGGATTTATATGGAATCGAAGAGAGAAACCTAATATTAATAGTTTCGTATGGAAACAATTAACGAAGTGAGCATACCAGTGCTAATTTCTGGAGATCCCCCATTTGATTGGTTCGCATAGTATGGGATTCCCGCGTTTGCACCAATGATTTTATAACAGTTGTGAGGTTATCTAATTAATTTTGTATTTTATGCAGCTTTCTTTCCGTAACCTCTTGTTTCTTACCATTGTCTTTCGATTTTTCTCTTGATCTCGAATAATCCCTTTTCTTTACTTTAGACATTTTTCCCACTAACTTATTCTTATAATTCTTAGGAATTAGCAAGAACGTCCGAGATATCAAGCACAACGAAACAATATGACAGGGATGGCGCGAACGGCGAGGGCCTTAAAGAGAGGCTACAGATTGCGCCATCTATTTTTTCGCACGTATGAGATATCGAGTATACGGACAATTACACTTGTTATCATCGAGAATGAGACTTGTAGTATAATAATATTGTTGTGCCCACGTCTTCTATGGCCGAGCAGAGTCGAGTCGCGTTTGGAGAAGGAAGCGGAGCGCTCTCTGGAGCAACGAATGCATTGTTTATGATGTTTTAGGCTAGTATTACATTTGTCGTACGACAAATTTTTCGTCTTGATTGATTGAGTTTCTAGAGCTCGAAAATTTCTCTATTCTGCAGCCAATCAATACGTTTGAAAAATTTGTCATACGGCGCATGTAATAGCATCCTTATGCCGTGACGTACGGATGTGTCCGTGATGTTCTGATTGTTTTGTTTCTTTGAATAAAGTTCTTGAGTTTCGTAAAGGAGTGTTGATTATTTCCGAGCGCGGCTTTCGGATTGCGCGAGTGCGCGGTGATGCGAGTCTGCGCGAGTAGTATTAGTAATCGCCGCGGACGTAACAATATTATGATCCGAAACTAAAAATTACTACTCATTATTCTTTTACTATAATAAATCATAAAATAGCTTTTCTTATTATCAAAAGATTTTTATTTACTAATTGATGTTGATGCACAAGAATAGGCATACCTTCTTGTTACTTGTCTTTGCAAATTATTTTCTTTAAAAAAACATTCATTCATATCAATTATAACGCTATCTGTGAATAAATCAATATATAATTATGAGTCTTTTCTATAATTTTTGTTAAATTCCTAACTTCTAAATTCTATAACTTTTGTTTGTTTTACTTTCTTCTAAAATTAAAAAAAGATATTTTAAAGAGAATTGTATAAAATGAAATATTCTGTATATATAAAGTGCACCTTATCATTACTTGTTATAAATTTTCTAGTCAAGTCAAAAACGATCTCTAATAATAATGTTCTTGCATCCATAATTATAAATTGATAAGAATAAATATATCTTTTCATCAATTAAACTTTACTGATTAATTGCAAAATTACATTTAATAGATATTTTTATAGAATGAAACCACATTTAATAAATAATTCTAAAGATATTATTTTATTTAAAAAATTTACTATAAATTTTTTATTTAATATTTAATATTTAATTATGAAAACTTATTACGCAAAAATTGAAATATTATTATACTTAATAATTTTCTGTATTATTTACATGAAAGATGTATTTTGAATTAATCCAAAACTCCAAAATGTAAAAAAGCATGCAAAAGTACGTAACATATATTTTATAAACTGTAGTTCAATAATTTATTAATAAATCGAAATAATATTTTTGTAGAATATCATGCAATGTAGGTTTAATACCAAATTCATTGATTTATTTGGATCATATCGAATTTTGCATTAATTGTGGGGATGTTTGCACAGCGAAATTTAAAAATTATTCCTAAACAAAGTTCGAGCAAGATCATCTAAATGAATTGAGTGTGAGATTTAACATGGCACTACTCGATAATCTTTTGCTTTCTCATGTTCGATGTTATCCACAGTGCATGTTGAAATTGTGCACTGATGAATATAACATACACCATATTATTTATATTTATTTTTATTTCGAGATAATGCTATGAAATCGGACAATTTTTTTATTAAATCGTTAAAGGATGAAAACAATACTTATTTTGTTAACTTTTATCATATTTTAAACAATATAGTATGTGAAGTTGTCAAAGATTAAGTATCAGATCGCGCCTGAGAAACGCGCGCCAGCCCTGACCGCTACGCACATACGCGCGCTCATTCGTCATTTTTAATCTAAGCCACTATAAAAACTACTCATTGCATGCAATTTTGTTAAAAGAAAAAGTTGTTTCTTAGCATAAAGAATCACGTAGTGTACTCCAAATGCGGGAGTTTTAGGACACCGTGTAT